TAACATTGTGAAATAAATATATGTTAATCAGTATAATGAATCCAAGTCGTAGATGAAAAAATCATATGAAATAGCACATGATGTACCGATTCTCAAAGTTATCACAGTTTTACGAGTCTTCAAATGAAGACCTCATTTTTATACTTTACTCATCTAAAAAACATAGATGCAAAAATATGTAATCGTGTTAGTCGGATTTTTAAATTTTATACTATTACTGGTGTTTGATATCGTGCGTTGCACGATGACGATAAATTTTTTAAAAATTTATTGAAATTAGTTAAATGAGTTGATGATCACATTTAGATATTAAACTAATAAAAATCAACATTACCTTTGATATATGAATCTAACTTATCATTATTTGTTGTTCTTTTAATATTATATACATATATTATATATATATATATATATATAATTATAATTATTAAGTTTTATATATCATTCTTTTATTATATCAAACTTTGTGATTGGTTCAAAATCATAAAAAAAATTATGTGAAAATATTGATTATAATCATGAGGTGTATTAAGAAAATTATTTTACCATAATATATATCAATTTATCTTCTACATATATTCTCATAAAATATTTATATTCACCAAGCAATAATTGTGTTGTTATTTACATTGATATAATTGTTGAATATTTTTGCAATTTGCTTATATTAGTTCATGATATACTCATTTGCAACATTGGTCAAGAACATCATCGAAACCACTTTTTCCTACATGCGATTGCATAAAATGAAAATAATAGCTATTATGACCATTCTAGATATATAAGAGTCTGATTGATTTGTTATTTTTTCATTTGACTTGTTCAAGCTTTTTAGATTTGTTTTAGACAGTTCATAGTTTGGTTTATTTATAAAAAAAATCCTGAAAATAGAGGTTTTAATAAAATTATGTAAAATAAAATATATGTATTATATTGAATTTCATATATTAAATATAGGGATGAAAAAGTCTTTTACATATATCAAATATTTTAAAAAATCAAAAATCTAAGAAAAAAAATGGGTTTCTAATGTTTAGATGATAACACCTCATTATGTTTGGTTTCTTCTTTAAAAATTAAAAATATTAGAAAATAATTTACAAGCTCAATGCTAAGAAAGGGAAAAAAAATCACAATAGACTAATCAACATCAACAAAAACAAAAACTCATATCATATTTGTTTTCATGAATGACACCTCAAATCAACAAAAAAACAGAACACATCCACAAAAACTGAAATAAATAAGAAGAATTGGGAGATTAAAAGAGATTATTATGCTAAACAATGTTAACTTATTTCATCAAAGATTCATATGCCACTTTATCCACACAAAAAAAAAATCATATGCCTACATAATTTCAACTTTAGTGTGAATTCTCCGACTAAAAGACGAAATATTATACTTACATAAGCAAAAACTCATACTATGATTAGTCTTATTGAATGACGTCTCAAATCAATAAAAATGCAAATCACCCCCACAAAATTATAACTGRATAGAAAGAAAGAATTGARAGATTAATAGAGAGATTCATATGTTTGTATAATTCCAATTTTAGTGTGAATATCTCTAATTAAAAGACGAAAATATTATACTTACATTAACAAAAACCCATATTATATTTCTCTTATTGAATAACGTCTCAAACAAACAAAAGTACAAACCACCTCAAAAACTGAATAGAGAGGAAGAATTGAGAGGGTTTTTTTCTATCCAATGTTACACTATTTCTTCAAGATTCATATGTCACTTTATCCACACACAAAAACTCCACATGCCTACATAATTCTAACTTTAATGTGAATATCTACGACTAAAAAAAGAAATATTATATTTACATAAGCAAAAACTCATATTATGATTTGTCTTACTGAATGACACCTCAAATCAACAAAAATGCAAATCACATCCACAAATTTATAATTGAATAGAGAGGAAGAATTGAGAGATTATCATAAAGGTGTCCCACAAAATTATACATGAATAGAGAGGAAGAATTCAGAGATTAATAGAGAGGTTATCATAGAGATATACCACAAAATTATACATGAATAGAGATGAAGAATTGAGAGATTATTATAGAGGTGTATCATGAAGAGAAAATGAAAAATTATAACCAAATAGAGAGAAATAATGAGAGTTAAAAGAATATTTATTAGAGGGAACATGAATAGGTTGAAACAACCTAATTAAAGGATCTTAAATGTAAATATGAAACATAAAAAACAAATATTAAAGTAGGAAAAGCTTGAGAAAAAAAGAAAAAAGATAAATTATTTTCTTGTTTTGAGAAGAGGTCATGTCATTGCATGTGGTTTCTTCTTTAATATATATATATATATATATATATATATATATATATTTTGTTGGTGAAATTCAACTCATTTTTAAATTAATTTTTCTAAACTTTTATTATGTTTTTAATAATTAATTTATGTATGTATAGGTTAACTTTGAAGATTAATATGAAACAAGAACTTCTATCAGCTATCTATCATCTATCAAAAATATCAATCTTTCCACAAACAAACTCACTGACATCATCCAAATAGCATCGAAAGTCTAAAAGGTATCCAAAAGGTTATTACTATGTTCCATCTGTTAAACAATTATTGAGATGAGTTTCGGCAATGAAAATTTTATGAAAATCAAGCCAATTTTGCAAAATGTTTGCATCTGATTTTACACAAACAAATTATTGATTTTTCTCCATAAAAAATAAGTCATGGTTATGATATCTTTTTCTATATCAAACGTAAAATATTTGATCGTTACTAGACGTGTCATATTTCCAAATGTAGAATTATTCTGGAATTCTTGCAAACACTCCATTATCGGGAATCTCAAGTATTGACCGTTACTACTTACTATAATCCGTTATTAACAGTTACAACTAGCCGCATTCTAAACAGTCACAAAAACCTTCAATTTCTTAACAGAATAAAGACGATATCTATACTATATTATAAACCATTTAACAAAAACTCTTAAAAACCATTTTTTATGCATAAAGTATTGTTTATTGATACATATTACTTAAAATTCAAGATTTCCAAGTAAATTATGCATAAGTACAACTTATTAAAGCTACCATGTTTGAATTCGTGTAACTAACTACGTATAAACATAATCAAATAGAGGATAAACATCTCATTTTAAATTAAAATATAAAAAATCTAAAATATGATTAAGATAATTATCGAGTTCTAACAAAATAACTAATTATTATCTTTATAAGAAAATTGTATTATTAAATCAAATATAAATTACTTCGTTATTAAATCTAAATTAAATTATAATTAAAAATTTGAATTAAAAAGTTATACAACAAATGAGGAATTTTAAATAGTTAATTTGATACTAATATCAATATATTTTTGTCAAAATTTTATGATATCTTCAAATTTATATTTTATTCAAAAATAAAAACATCATCGTTTTTTCAAAATCCCGTAAGACCATATTATAACATCGACTGAGATAAAAAATAAAATAAAATATTAAAATCAAGATGTATCTCGCTGCATTGCACGAGTACCCTTCTAGTTAATAATTAATAGAGTAAACTATTGTTATTTAATTAGTGGAAAATAATTCACTTTTGTTCATGAATTAATACAAAAATTTGCCCTAAAACTCGATTATAGATTAATTTTTTTTAATAAAATAGGTAAAGCATAAAGAAATTCGACGCTACAATGGAATAAAGTGTGCCTAACCCTAACCCCTATAAATTTTCAATAATAGCCGATTAAATATCATATAAAATGATTGCAAGTATGGATGCTCATAGGTTGGGTTGATCGGGTTGAAGACATTTAAACAACCCAACACAATGCTTGCGGTTTGAAAAATCTTAACCCAACCAAAACGAAAGTGCAACCCAACCCGATCCAAACCGTACGGGTTGGTCGGGTTAGCCGGGTTGGTCGGGTTGATACTTTGGTACATTAAAATATTCTTCTAACATTGAATATGTTAATTCTCTACTCATATTTTTTTCATCATCAATCATTTGATACAACTTATCCATATTTCTTACGTATATCACATCCAGTTAATTTTCTCAATTACGTATATCACATCCAGTTAATTTTCTCAATTTACGCATATATGTTTATAGTTACTGAACATATATACGAATGAGTGAAAAGATGTGTATATGAATAGCGTACGTGATAGTTTAATTGTCTAGTTTGTATATTAATAGAAATTCAACAATCATATTAAATCCAAGAAATAAATAGATATCAGGTTCATCGGGTTGGGTTGGGTTCAAATAATAGTAACCCAATACCTACGGTTTACAACTCGATTAGACATCGAGTTGTTTCAAGTTGAGTTATTTCACGTTGGGTTGGATCGGATTGATCGGGTTTTTGAGCACCCCTAATTGTAAGTACAAGAGACCTGTGGTTTATTGATAACTTCAATTTTCATTCTAGTGGTTTAAGAATTGCAATTTTTGTATCCATGATTTACAATTTATTGTTACTTTTGTCCATGTAATACAAGAGACCAAAACAACAATAAATTGTAAACCACAGGAACTGAAACAACAATCAATTGTAAATCATAAAACTTACAAAACAATAGTAGACATGGCAAATGGGGCTAGGAATGCAATCCCCAACCACCTTCAATCTGCTTGTTCCTGCTTTGGCTGCTCCAACCAACTTCATTCTGTTTTTTTTTTTATCAACCTAGATATCCGGCCTGCTATGCGAGTCGACTAATCCCAGGACGACCACATGCTTTGTAGATAGCTCGAAGCCACCGCATTTGAACCTCCATGGCCACAAGGGGATTTTTATTCCTCCTTGGATTTAAACCTGGGACCTCCTGGTACTTTTGACTTTGGAGTCAAACTCAAACCAATCAGGCACCACCCTTGTGGTTAACTTCGTTATGTTTTACTTCCTTTTCCAAAGGAAGATCTGCTTTAGATTTCTCCCATGATGTCAAAGAAGATGAATATTTTCTATATTTTAATGGCGAGATCATGGATTTGATTAAAATCTGATTTAAGGTTATATATACATAAATGACTATAAAAACTTCTTCTAGATTCAAAAGATCCAGCCCATATAAAGATAGTGAACATAAATAAACATACCTCAAAAGCTGTATGCTACCAGGGTGCATCAACCTCTTTCTGAAACTTCATCTCATGCTTGCCAACCTTCTGTTTCAAACCATCCACAATCCCTTCCATCTTTCGATGACTCTCGTTCAGTTCCGCGAGCCTTTCTGTCACTTTCTCTATCTCGTCTTTGAACCCTTTCTGTTCATTTTTTGCTTTCGTGTACCGCTCGATATCCACCCGACCTTCTGATTCAAACGCGATTCTTGCAAGCATATGGATTCTATCGCATAAAAATCCAACTTTCATTCCCATAAGATTAAAAGATTTCAGGGAATTATCCCATACTTCCAATTCTTCCTTGGTTGTTGTGATCTTCAAGTTCTTGATCTCATTGGCAATGTTGACGGTTTCGCCAATCATGCCGGCTACCAGCTTGTAGTACAAGCCTTCAGGAAGAGAATCATGGAGGATCTCCTTCCTACTATTGCAGAGTTTGTAGTAATTCATTCTGACATCATCTGGAAGCTCGGAGTCAATGCACGTCCCCTTGACCATGATCCGGAAGTCTTCAAATGTTTTGAGTTCTTGAAATGAAAGGTCCGGTTTAGAGGGTCTAGAACCTTCCAGAACTTCTGACCTGACCTCTTCGCTATCGTTTCCTGAGTGGTCTATAGGGTGGTTGCTCATCTGTGATCGTGGAGTTGAGAGTTTGTGCTTCTTTTGGACCACGATTAAAGGAAGGGACTTTGGACGCTTGCTTTGCGTTGTTGAAGATGGCGCATCCGTTTCTGTGTGCGCCTCAAGATTCAAGAGGCTAAGAGCACCATCCACTTCATTCAGATAATTTGCTCTTATTATATAAACCTACAAATTATAAAATTGATATTATGCATATATAAACCTACAAATTATTAAACTGATATTATGCATATATAAACCTACAAAAAGTCAAGTTTGCTAAGTTATCGTAAGGGCTGTTTACCGACACAAATTGGGCCAAGCTCTGACAGAGTAAGAATGCAGTCTGGGTAAGAGGTTTGGTCTGGGTAAGCGTCGACCGAAAGTGGTTGCTTACTAAGGGGTCGTTTACCCAATTGCATACCCGGTAAGCGCTTACCGATAGGAGTCAACACTATGATTTCTTTTGATGCGCAAGATTTTAGTACATCAAAACATATCGAATGCAACAATTTACTAGGTAAGCGCTTACCTGGATAAGAGTCGTCATCCTCACTTACCGGGTAAGACTCTCCATCATTCTCATTGCTCTTACCCGGTAAGATTCTTGGCCCTTCTCATGTTCATCCGATAAGGAAATTTATCCGGTAAGCACTTACCAAGTAAGTATTAAATAAACGGCCCCTAAGGGTGCGTTTGGTATGTGGAACAGGGTGGGACAGGACAGAACAGGACACACTTGTCCCATGTTTGGTGTGTTTCTAAGTGGAACTAAGTGGAACTAAGTGGAATAAGAATGGGACACGCGAGTTCTACCTAATACCCTGGAACTAAGTGGAACTCAAACTTATTTCCCTCATTACCCTTCTCCCTTTTACCCGGCTTCTTCACAAAACCTAAGACAGACTCCATCGCTCCTCCTCCATTGCTTCCTCATCGACAGCGACCAGACCATCGACGGCGACCAGACCATCGACGGTGACCAGGACCATCGACGGCGACCAGGACCACGACGGCGACCAGGACCACGACGGCGACCAGGAACATCGACGGCGACCACGTCTGCGAGTTTCGATCGGCGTTCATCTCTTCAAATCTGTTCCAATCGACTAACGATTCTCTCCTCTCCATATCCAATCGAGGTTTTTCTCCTCTCCATATCCAATCTGTTCAACATTTTACCACTTTGSGTTTGAAATTTTTGTTATAAGCTTACCATGGTCAAAAAATAARGAACCGTATRGTTGGTTATGCCCTAGGTTTTTCTGCCTTCCTACAGAACTTACTTTAGGTTGGTTATGCCCCTGTATGCACCAATACCATGTACAATTTAGTGATAGAAGTAGATGCTGTTGGTTGCCATTGGTAGGTTTCTTTGATTTACAATGTTTTCATTTGGAGTACTTATTAGGGTTGTAGTGGTAGTAGGACCAGTGAATCTGATGTGCAGCAAAATACCCTTTTGTATATCATACATTCTGATGTGCATCTTCCATTTGAATCCTGTTTTCTTGGTTTGTATGCACAGATGATGTGTGAAATATAGCTTATGAAACTAGATAAAATAGGAATTGATGAAAAACTTAGTTAGTTATGAAACTTAATTAATTGAAGTACTTATTAGGGTTGTAGTGGTAGTAGGACCAGTGTTACAAGAATGCATTTCGTAGTGAAAAAACACTAAACAACTCACTGGGGGTAAATTGGTCATTTTAACCAGTTCTGTCCTGTCCTGTCTTACCAAACACTGAACAGCTGTCCTGTCCTGTCCTGTCCCGTCCCGTCCTGTCCTGTCTTGTCTGTGCACCAAACGCACCCTAAGTGTCTGGGTAAGCACTAACCAAGTCAGAAGGAAACCCCTTCCAATTTTGTGGGTAAACAGCATCTACCTTACCCAGTAAGAGGCAGTCAGCAAGCAGTAAACAGCCACTTAGTAACTCCATATTCAGAGAGAATGACAGGCATGAGAAATCCCTACGACAAATCCATGTTGTGAGACTTTTTTCTACAGACTTCAAGCATTGCTCATGAACATTTAGGTACTTTCTAAGCAGTTTGGCTTGGACCTGACCCTCAAATTGATTAATCCAAACCACTGCAACTCAGTTCCAACGTTTTAGAACCAAACTGAACCAGAAAGGCATTATATGTAAACTATAGTTCAATTTGGTTCCATGGTTTAATTCCTCTTTTAATTATAGATAGATTATTCAAATAAAAAATAAATCGAGTTAAACTTAAAACCATTGAAATAACATTACAAACAAGCAATGCATAATTTTCTTTAATATATATAAATTGAAATGCTATGAAAGTAAGTTATTTTCATATAAAACTGAACACCTTAAACTCTATCCAAGACGTTCATTTTGACACCTGAAACCACAAACTGAACCCAAAGATCAGATTGTAAAATTTATGAACACCAACTAAACTATGCAATCCCAAAACCAAACCGAACTGAACGATTTGGTTCAGATCAGTCTGATTCCATGGTTTGGTGGTTTTAGACTTGCACTCCCAATTCAAATCATTCTCATGAATTTGATTCAGACTCTTACCTTAGTTTATGCGGTCTTTCCTACTAGTTTCTCGATACCAATTGAGTCTTTGCTCTTTGCAGTCGTGAATTATGTTTTTGCTTGTTCATCATGAGTTAGTTCAGTGAAATCAATCCCTAAGTCCCTAAAGAAATTTATGAAGATGAAGTCGACAAACAATGAATTGGAAGATAGAATTCATGACTTCAAATAAAGAACTATGTGGTCTTTCAGGCTTTCAGGTTGAAGATATTAACTCAGGTCAACCAATTTTGCAGTCTCCACCACTCCTGTCTCCTGAAGAACACTGTTGTTATTCATGTTCATCATGAAAAAAACCCACAGAGAAAAAAGAGCATCATGTCACCTTAAATTTGCAGGGTTCGACTAAATGGAAGACCAAAATATCCCCTTCAAGCAAGTTATGCCAATCTGCAAACTTTTTCCAACCTGCACTAAGCCCATTCTTGCGAGCAATGTATCTGATATGATATACGTCCCCATTTTCATCTTCAATCACCATTGTAGTATCTGTTTTGGGTAAAAACAACTTGCCGAACAGCTGCGGAAAGCCCTGCATCCATGAAACAGCAATATTATACAATTTCAATAGCTAAAAACCAATTGCGGGTTGCTGAAAAGATAGTAGCATTACCATCCAGTAACCAATATCAACATGTGCTTTCACCATTAACTTTATACAGCTGGGATGTTCGGTTCCTAGACTTGACTGAACCTCCTCAGCTCGAATCATGGCAAGCGAATTTCCAGCCGCCAATTTAAAGCATTTAGTTGCAGAGCTTTCGTTTTGGGAGCTGCATGTCAACTATGGGCCATCAGTTTCAAGACTCTTTTCCTTAATAAAAAGGGAAGAGAACTATAAAGGCAAGCAAGACTGACCTCAAACACTTGCTTGAAGGATCATGAACAACCTGTTAATGAAATTACACATCTGTAAACTCCATATTATGTGGACAAAAAAGACGATGTATACAAGGAAAATGCAAAAGGTATAAGCTGATCTAAACAGAATAGACACCCAACACAGGATTAACTAATAACCCTAAATCCAAAATATGGATTCTAATTTTTTTTGTAAACAGCTGAATAACTACATTGACTTGTGTAACGATCACTAGAAACTAAAAAATGTTCACAGATCAAATTGCAACAAATCTATATCAACTCTAAAATCGAAATTTTGATACCAAAGTGTAGCTTTTTCTTTGTAAAACAAAATAAAAACTCAAGAGAATGCTTACAACTTTAGGTTTCGAATGCGAACGTTTCTTCTCCATGGTTTCGAAAACGCCATATCTCATCGGCGTAGATTTTCTCCGTTTGCCCTATCAAAACCACAACCAGATCCAACATCATTCAATTGATCCTTCAGCATACAAATTCATAGATACATGTATACATACTTGTAAGCACATATAAGGAAAAGGAGAAGAGATATACCAATGAGTATGTCATGGGAGCAGGACTTGCAGACTTAGGGCGAGAGGTTTTAAAATTAGTCAATCGGGAGATAGGCAAATCGTCTTCTGCAGAATCGGAAGTAGTTCTATGTTCGTCATTGGTGAGGTGAAGATCCGAACTTTGTAAGGGTAAATCGGTTTCTCCGGCCACCGGAGCTGCCAAAACTAACGAGGGGTTTGAAGGGGAGAAAGGGGAAGAACGAGATTTACGAGAAAACGGCGGTAAAATGGCCGAGCGAGAAGATTAAGAGGTCATAATTCGAGAACTTTGGTTGCCACGTGTCGGACATTAATGAAAAGCCACAGCCTTATTTTTACCGAGGGAAGCCGCATTTGAATTCTTTTGTCGTGACATTTCAGATGTAAAAAAAAGATGTAATTATGAGTTGTTTACTAAATACTTATTTGGTAAGTGTTTATTGAATAAATTTTTTTATTGGATGAACATGACAAGCGTCAAGAATTTTACCAGATAAAAATGATGAGAATGATGAAGAGTTTTATCCGGTTAGTGAAAAGTACGACTCTTACCCAGGTAAGCGATTACCCAGTAAATTGTTGCATTCAATACGTTTTGATGTACTAAAATCTTACTTATCAAAATAAATTATAGTGTTGACTTCTATATGTAAGCAATTATCGGATAATCATTTGGGTAAACAGCCCATAAACATTTAGATATTGTTATGATGAGTAAATTATGGAAATCGATCTTGTGGTTTAAGATTTATTTTGATTTTGTCCATACAATTCAACTTTTACAAAAACGAACCCTTATGGTAAGGGTTATGTTTCGGTTTTAATCTCATAGGCAAACACTCCCAACTCATAAGCAGATGTAGTCGAATTATAGCAGTGCAGGCCCACATATAAAAACTCTGTTAAGATCATCTTTGTTGAACCGGGGTCATTTCCAACAGAGTCATAGAGAACAAGTGTTGGAATTTGAAACTGAAGCCACTCAGGGGCTGTTTGGCAATTGCTGAATGGTTTGGTGCGGAATTATTAAGTGGCCAGAATGATAAAGAGGCTCTCATGATATAGTGCAAAATGAAATATAATTGTTTGGTAATTGTGTACAATGAAATTAGGGCTCTTAATGGTTAAGGAGGATCCAGGATACAAAATCATTCAGAGGGTTTTAGAACCATTAAAAGGCAGATTTTTTTTTTGCCAAACAAGATTCACCTCTTAACGATTCAGAGGTTGCCTCTTAATTGAACTATTAAGAGGTAATCAAACAACCCCTCAATTTGTCTAGCTAGGTGGTGCTAAGCCCCCCTTAATGATCCATGTTAATAACCGATAGTAGAATAAGAATATATAAACATTTGTTGGTTGAGAGTGTTTTCTAAAGCCTAAAAAGACCCATCTAAGGCATTATTTAGGGGCTGTTTGGCAGTTGCTGAATGATTTAGTACAGAATAGTTAAGAGGTCAGAATGGTTGAGAGGGTCAGAATGGTTAAGTGTTAAATGAAATAATGTTGTTTGGTAAATGTTCACTGAATGATAATAAATTACCATTTTAACCCTGACAAGGGCAAAACCTCAAAATAAGTAAAACAGTAAAATTAGGGCAAATCAAGCAAACTACAAACTGAAAACCAGCACTAAAATTAGGGCAAATCTAGCAAACTACAAACTACTTTGGAGGCTTCGAAGTTGAAGGCACAAAATCATTAGGGTTTATATCTGAATCACAAAATCGATGACCTGAGGGGGAAGACGGCGACCATGGAACCGACGAAGGAGGGGGAAGACGGCGACCATGGAACCGACGAAGGAGGGGGAAGACGGCGACCATGGAACCGACGAAGGAGGGGGA